ACAATCATACATACATACACACACACACACACACAAATAAGCATGCCAACACACAATCATACACAAACATATACACACACACACACACACACATGCCAACACACAGTCATAAACAGAAATATACACACACAAACAAACAAACATGCCAACACACAATCACACACACATACACATATGCACAAACATATACGGGCAGCCGTGTAGTGCGTATATTACATGTGTGAAAATACAGGTACATACACACACATGCACACATGCATACGTACAAATGTATATGCAGGCGGGGCGAGGGCAGTTACGTTGGCGAAATGGTTTTTACGTGTTTTAAGTGTATGCGGAATGATGCATGCTGTTCCAGGAAAACGTGCTGCCGTCGGATGCAGAATGCGAGCGAATGCTGCAGGAGTTTGCCCGAATCACCCGAACCGATGAGGCTTGCGCGCACTTCTTCTTGCAGGACTTCAACTGGCAGCTCCAGGCGAGTGCTTCGTTTTGGCTCAGACAAACGCTGCTCGTGGCATGTGCATTCGTTAACAAATTTGTTGTTTAGCCGGCACTGAACCGCTTTTTCTCGTACGCGGAGCAGGATGAAGCAGAGCGCGCCACGGCCAAGCTGACCCCGCCACAGAAGGCACGAACCGCCGACAAATTTACCATACTGTCCTGGAATGTGGATGGCCTCGATCTACGAAGCAGCACCGCCCGTTTCACCGCCGTCTGTTACACCATCTCGAAGTGAGTGCAACGCGCCGCTCTCGGCCACCTGGCATTTTTTGCTTTTTTTTGGATGTGAGCCAAGTAAGTGCCAGTTGTGCGGTTTCAGGGTCGGACCAGATGTTGCGTTTCTTCAAGAGATGACTGCCGAATTGGTGCAACAGGTGAACCGCAATCTGGGCGGCGAATACAACATTCTTGTTGCAACCCCAGTGGAGCCATATTTCACCGTGGTGCTAATGAAGCCGGATATGCCGTTAATTTCGCACAACGTTGCCCGTTACGAGAAGTCCGGGATGGGCAGATCGATGCAGCTCGTTGAGGTGGGTTGTTGCTGTTACACACGGCACAGAAGGTATCTGGAGGCCACCGAGCTGACCGTGCAACTTTTCAGAGCTTCACGAACGGCCGCAGGCTGTTGCTTCTAAATACGCACCTGGAAAGCATGAAAGAGCATTCGGACGTACGCAGATCGCAGATACAGGAATGCTATAACCAGCTGAAGCAGTGGGATGATGGGAAGAGCATTATCATTTTTGGAGGGGATCTCAATGCTCGCAATGATGAAGTAAGTGACTTTTTTTTTCTTTCTACCGGTTTTTCGCCTACAATTCGCCAGTTTTCATTCATCGAACTACTGAAAAAACAGTAAATTCACGACAAGAAAAAAACAAGCATTAGTAACCCGTCTTTAGCTGGAATACCACTTTTCTTCATGCAGCTTGAATAGGATTATCCATATGATTGTGTATAGTAGCTATTACATTTCCAAGCTGTAAAAATGCAGATTGGTGAACTTCCTGAGGGATTCAAGGACGCATGGGTGGCTGCCGGATCCGACTCGAGATACACATTCACGTGGGACACGCTACGCAATGATAATAGAGCAACAGGGCGCGGTCGTTGCCGTTTCGACCGCATTTTCTACAACAGGTGCTTGTTGCTGTTCTTTTTTTTTTTCACTGGTCACTGCAAAGAACCTTCCAGTGTTTGCTACAAGTGCCTAAAGCCAGTTAATAGATTTTGAAGCAGCGAGCATTTATTATTATTATTATTATTATTATTATTATTATTATTATT